TTGTGGGTTTTATTTATTTTGACAATGGATTGAGACACATCTCTTTCAACTTGCCAAAACAGGGAAAAGTAATGGCCATTAGGAAAAGACAGACTAATGCAAGTACTGAACTGTGCAACTGTATCTGCAACTGATTTGCTGTTTTGTTTCTCATAGCACAGGTGCAGCAATGATCAATGGCTCTCAACATCCATCTTCATCATCATCTGTCAACGATGTGTCTTCAATGTCAACAGATCCAACATTGGCCTCTGATACAGACAGCAGTCTAGAAACCTCAGCTGGACCTCTGGGTTGCTGTAGATGACTACTTGGTCTTTTGGGGGGTGGGAGGGGGGTCCTTTTAGTCATTAATAGGGCACTTTTAAAATTTGGTGGTATTTTTGAGTGTTTTTTCAAAAATAATCATGAAATTCATCATAAAGTGCTGTAATTTCAAACTGTAAGTTGTGTTAAAAGCAGCCACTTTTTTGCTGTAATTAACTGTAAAATATTAAACCTGATAATTTTTATTGTGGTTTTAAAATCTGCATATTTGCTTTACTATTATGCTGCTGATCTTTTTTTACTGAATTTGTAAGATTTGTTTTATCAAAGCACATATTAATGTTGTGGTCATTACCATATAATGAATTATTTAAGATTTTATAGGTTTTCAATTTTTTAATTAGAATTTATTCCAGATGTTTTGTTCATGATATCCTTCAGAGTTTTATGCTTGGTCATACATCTGTGGTCTAGGTGGAGGGGGAGAGAATTCAGTGCAGCCAGCTGTAGTTTTGGGCATACTGCTGTAGTGCTGGCAGTGAAAAAAATCCTCTTTTATTTTGGCCACTTGCCTATAATACTTCAGCAAAAGCAACAATTAGTAAGTTTTTATAGAGAAAAAAATCCTTTGCAAAATAACATTGTGTGAATGGGTTTATGAACATAAGAAAGCAAAGCATATCTTCAAAGATGCAGAAATACCCAGCCTAGCAAAGTAATGTGATGTTTTCTGCAGAGTTGTGGCATGCCAAATCTTGTGATCACCATAAAACCCAAGGATACTTCATGAATAATACATTGCAATGCCAATAAACTGTTTACTTTTAGCTTGTAGCCTGTTTTTGTACACACAAAACAAAGTGTATCCAGGATGTCTAGACTGACAAAAAGGAAACTGAATATGCTGTAGCTATACTTTCGTATAAGACGTGATTCTTGGGAGTTGTGGTTCTTACTGGTTTTGTCTACTAGGGCGAGTGCTTTTCGAGTGCTTTTTGGGTCAAAGAGGGAATGACATGAATGCAATAGGGGCAAAACTTCAGCTACTCTTTCTCCACCAAAAATACTGATTGCTAAAAACCATTAAGTGGTAGGAGAACCTCAGGATTTCTGTAGCTAATGCATTAATGAGCAATATATGCCATCCAAAGGAGGGAGAAGTAGTGCTGTATAAATTAATATTTATCTCTTTCATTTCACCATGAGATCAGTGTAGCAGAAATCTTAACAATGGTTCATTTTAAGTCATAAATATTCAGTAGTTTTCATCACCGAAGCTCCAGGCTTCAATACACTTTTTAAACAAAAGATATATTGAGATATATAGAACATTTACTAAATAGTCATGTAAGATGGTGCTGCTCATCACAGAAGTATTTTAACTGTTTACATTTTATATTTACAGAATGATTTATGTATAACTGACTTAAGTTTGAGTTAAACAATCATTCAGAATTTATTCCTTTGGAAAATGCAGATTTTTAGTGAAGCTAGGTTATATAATTGATTGCCTCGTGTAGATGCATATTTTGTGTAGTGAATTAGAATGCGAAGAGCAATTTAAATTAGTAATGCTCACAAAAATGGACATAAATACAGAAGTCTTGCCAGGCGTCGAGCATAAGCAAGTAATGTAACTGGCTACAGAGGTCATCCAGGAATGACTGATAGTCTTCAGTGTGGTTCCTTCTGCCTGTTGGGTTAAATAAGTATCTTTTTGAAGTTCTAACTGAAAGAGGAAAATATGTCTTTACAGTAAGTTTCAGAAAAATAGAAGTGATAGTAATGCTTTTGATATCTAACATGTCTTTTTAAAAAACATGCAGGGTTTACAAGAAATGGTAATGTCTCAAAGATGACTAAATTGATAAACTGCACAATTGTTTTCCTGGCCTGGCTAGACTGCTGGTAAGTGCTTTGTGCATGTAATTTTGCTTTCCTCACCTGTATCTAATATTTCAATATTGCCTTCCTAAACCACATTTGTTAAGGCAATTATTTTTGCAGGATCTTGCCAAATTGTGTATTACCTCGGAATAGGCAGGACATGTTTGGATTCATCTAGCACTGGAATGTAGAAAATCTGCTCAAGTTGAACGGAGACCAACAGAACAGTCTATTTTGTAATTTTTTTATCAAAGTTTAAGCTGTGAATTAAGCCAAAATTTTTGGTCATATGACAGTTCTCTGTTGTTATATAGGGTCAAATGATAGTGTGGTCAACAGTGTAATGAAGTTAAGACTGACAAAAGCGACTTCTGATGCCTCTAAGTGCTGTTAAAAACAGAATTTGATAAATATAATTCGTATTCAAATTTATTTTAGACCCCTCTGGATTACAGTGATGATTGAAATATTTTGAAACTTAAAAATACTTTTTGCTATCACTTTCCAGTGTCCTAAATAAAATAGCCACTGAAATGAGTTTATAAGCTCTAAGGAGAATTGAGCTTTTCTTCTTTCACGGTAGGTTTAATGAATAGGTAGGACTGTCCCCTGCAGCCCATTGCAGTGTGAGTGAGCAGTTTTTAAAGGGATTGTTTTGGTTAGGTCAGAGCTTTGCCTGTGGAAACCTAGAGCTCACTTCTGGCTCTATCTTCGTAGTAGTGTTGCGGGTTTTTTTTTTAGGCAAATTAGTGGTGGCAAATTTCAAAGATAAGAAAGTCAGATTCAGGCACCAAAGTATCACAACAACATCCTAGTCTTAACTTTCCTTTTTATTTGCTGAAATATAAAATTACTTAAGCGATAGTTGTACACCGCCACAGATAGCAAACAAATAGGTAACTGGAGTTGAGCTGTCTTTGTCTATTGTTTGTTAGATTCTATGTTGTCCAGTACACTGTACAATTTTATTCCTAAAATATAGTTAAGCTTTATTTTAGACTGTTTCAAAATCTTCTCATGACAATGGGCTTCACTAGAGTGCATGCAACTTCCTAGGGCTGTTCTAATCCATTGGAGAATTGGTAGGGATTGAATTACAATGAGCTGTCTGATCTCTTATGTCAGGTGACGTTAAATGTTGGGCAATAATAGTGAGATTGATTCCCACCTCCTTTGGTCAGAGCTGTGGCGTGCATCAAGGATAAAACAGCACTCTCCTTTTGTAGAACTAGGTTCTTCAAGAATTTGAAATGGGGGGGGGGGGGCGGGAATGAGTACCATGATGGTGTGCTGCAGTTCTGTGTTGTAAGGCCTTTTGCTGATGCAAGACAATGGGGTCAGAACTGATGTTTCACTGTGTGTTGGTGTGTGTGAGCAACTGGGCTGGCAGATCAAAACTCTCAGCCCAGCCTGACTGTCCAGGGCAGCCCTGGTTCATTCTGCTCTGCTCAACAGACACGGCACTTGCCCTGCGTGAGCTGCACTGCTCAGGATTTTAGCTTTGAAGAACCTTGCTGTGCTGGGTGCAGTGGTATGTTTTTGGATAGGAATTCCAGCTAGATACAGAGTATCATAAATTGTTTGGTCGGGGGGTGTATGGGTATGTGTGTGGGGGTGTCTGCATATGACTGTGTCTGTGTGTCTCTGTGTGTAGTCCCCACGTCCCCACCACAGGGCGGGTGCTGAGGGGGTGCCAGGCCACAGCAGTAGCACCCCTCGCTGTCTGAGGGTCCCATGGGGACGGTCCGTGCAATCCTCTTGGAATGGTCAGTGGAGCCAACACTGAGCACCTGGCCAGGGGCCCTGCAGGGAGGGAGGGATGATGTGGCATTCAGCTCAACAGTGCATGAAGAAAAATGGTCAAAAAGCTCCTACAGGAGGATGGTTCTACCCAGCCAATAATCCAAAGTGTGTGATAAAGTCTCTCAATTAAGATTATGGGGGAAAGGGGGGAAGAAGGTTCAGCTTACACTCAGTCTTAGTCTTTCAGGTTGCTAAAGGGCATGAATTATGGTTTCTAGAAATGGTTTTGTTTGCTATTGGCAGCAGCTTCTCCATGCTGTTATATTTTATTTTCCTATCAGTGGTTTGGTTCTTACATATTTAGGTTGAGGACTGGAGTTGAAGGAGAGCCTGTCTGCATTTTTCAGTAGGATTAGAAAGAGTTCTAATGAAGAAATGTGATGAGACTGTACCACCTACCCAAATTTTCAATTAATTTAATTTATTCCTAGTTTAGGGCACTGGATAAAAGTGGTATTTTAAATGGTCTCTTTCACTCCTTCCTCCTCTTTAGATATGTCTGCATTACAGAAATGTGTTATGAATCAGGTCACATTGTGTTTCTAATTCTGCAGTTAAAAATTTAAGCTAGGTTTTCTTGAACTACCTCACACAAACTTTCTACGTTTCTTAAGTAAGCAAAGCTAACCCTTGCTATTGGAACTACACTGAATGTGAATAGAAAAATACACCTCCTTTAGAAAAACAAACCTATTGGCCAATGTTGAGACAATATCAGTAAGTATGTTTCTTATATATTTCACGTAAGATGTTCATGTGTAATATATAGCTTGTGTACAGTAATGTACATCTAGAATATTGTGTTAGCTGTAAATTGGTGATTTTATTATTGTAGTCTGGTTTTGTAGGGTAAAAATAGCTTACTAGTAATGTCAACTCATCCTTTACATTTTACAAAAGGAATAATTCTTGGTAAGCTTTGCATACAGATGAATTACTTTTGTAGGCCCAATATCTAGTCTATTTTTGAGAGTTCTTTAACTTTTATTACTAAAGTTGAGAAAAAAAAATCCCACCCCAATTATTGTGATCATTCCTTCTGCCCCTTTTGAAGTATATTCTTAATTTTATTATGTCCCAAGAAATATGAAGTAGAAGATACACCATTAAAAATACTGGGGAAAACTGTAATTCTTTTTTCTTCCCCACATTTGATACTTTTTCCTGCTTTTCCTCTTCCTTTATTCCCTCCAAATAAGCTGTTGGTGGGGCATTACTGAGAACATTGTGGGTTTTTTTACTCATTCATGCCATAGGTCATTACATGTGCACCACTGGAATGTATACATTGTTATCTAGTATGTCAATTGGTTATAATGATATTTTAAATAAAAAAGAAAAAAAAAAGTTTGACCACTATGCATTTAGTGTTTCTTCATTGCTAGGCTAGAATGGTTTCATATGGATTGCATAAAAAGGCTGCACTTGAAATCTTATTAGTCAGTACTTCTTGAGAATTCATCTGGTTTTTAATGGTACTTCAAGTCCTGTCTTGTGTGTGAGCTCACTCATGGGCAAAGTGACATGTTTTTTCCATTTCTCCATTCCCACTGACTTTGGATGTGCCACAGACTGTTAACAGCCACGTGTCTTTGCAACCACTGGGAATGTGTTCTTGCCTCCTTGCTGCTAGCTCTAGCCACTTTATTTCCTGGAAATACAGCTGCCAAGACCCTGTGCTGCAGAAAGAGGTAAGCCACGGGTTGTCTAGTGTATGGGACTAGAAGTGAGTCTCAGAGAAACCTGAAGGATCTCACTTCTGGAGAGCTGACTTGTGTGCCCAGACCACTTGCTGGCCCCTCTGCTGTGGGTAAATCCTAACACAAAATGCATTTGATTGCCTTCACTTCCAGCAGGGTGTGGGTGTTTCCTTGAACAAAGACTGCAGATGCCCTTGAGCTGTGCTGTTGGTGTCCCTGTACAGTTTCAAGGGAGAGGGACTGTGACTCCTGCAGTACATTGTAGCCAGCTTTGTTTCTCTGGGCCAGCTGTTTGAGACGTTCTTCTAGGAATGCGGTAGGACTCACAAATGCTTTTCTTTATTTGCATGTCAGCATAAAGGGCAGCCAATTTCAAATGATATGCCAATAACAGAGCAAGGCTGGAGAGACAATCTTAGCTCTGCCCAGGATTTGTGTGTGGGTGACTCAGGACTGAAACACTGCTTAGTGCTGCTGGCTGCAATGGAACTCGCTGGTGAATGTAGATGATTCAATGAGCTACCTTCCGTTCATTTTCCTTTTTGTGTTAGAAATTACATGGAGACCTTCAGAAGGGTTTTTTTGTTATTCTGAAGCATTGCTGTTTTGATTTTTTTTTTAAAGTATATGCTTGTGTTGGGTTTTTTCACTGAAAAGTTTTTATGCTTTTTTGCCTGCAAAATACTGGAAGATTGCACAGGTGAAGCTATGGTAAAAACATTTCTACCTGATTCCAGGAACCTTTTGTCGTGTTAAGTAATATTACCAACCTGTATCTTGTAAACACTTGCTAAGAAAGCTGACATTTAAATCAGGGGCTGTAATGAGCGAAAGGTCTGCAAAATAAGGATGCTTGATATGGGGAAATGAAGTGGTGGGAAAAGAGTATGGAAACAGCAGTTAAAACTAGGAAAGAGTGTATCATCCTCAAATAAGGGCATAGTGTTCCATGAGGTGTGTACAACAGCACAGGTGGATTCCCATTTCTTGTATAATTGCCCATGTCTGGAAATGAACATTATACTTCTGTCGCTGCACTTAAGAGTTAACATCCTACCATCGTGAATTTTAGTGTGAACTGGGTAGTTTGCAGGTTCTTGCAGGCTTTGTTTACTGCAGCGTCTCATCTTCAAAAGGAGCTGGAATTTATTCCTCATGAACAAGAGGCATAGATGGTGCTGGAGCACAACAGTCAACCTGCAACTGTTTAGTTTCACTAATCAGTTTGAGTGTATACTGTTTCATTTGTGACATTGAAAAGAAGAATTAATTTTATCCTGAATGCCAGAGTAATTTTACTCCTACAGATCTGACAGATTGTCCTGTCCTGGAGCTGAAGGTTTGGGATAGGTAGGTTTGTTCCCCAGTTCTGCTGTATGTAGTAGTTACCTAAGGTTAAATACTTACAGAGTTGGCCAGCAGTCCTGTTCACTTGCTTGTCTTGCATATTTGGTGTTTAGTCTCCCAGTCAGCATGGCTCAGTTCCCAAGTTTGTAGTGTTCCCAAACTAAAGGGAGCAGTCTGCACTTGATAGATATAGGAGATAATGCAGTATAGTCTAAGGGATGTGTGAGCCGTCAGGATGGCTACAGTGAAAGGTTTCCACTTTTGGGATAGCAGTAAGAGAGGGCATTGAAATACCCTGGTTGTTACTACTAGTTGTATTGAATGTTATCAGTAGAAACTTCCTTTTTATCAGTCCTGATTTTCTACTTACACCCTGATTCAGGCCACCCTTCAATATTTAGGTTTATTTTGTGATAACTGGCCTGGTATTGCAGCTCCATGCCACACTGTGCTCTCCAGCTCAGTCATTGTTACAACAACTGCTTCTCTCTCACATTATTATGGATCTTAATGCTGCTGTTTTAAATGGCCATCCTATTCCATGCAAGATCACTTGTGACCATCAGTAGTAACCTAAGGCAGAGATGGAGAAGGAAGGTGGGGGTGATGCTTGTGCCTGCAGGTGGCAGGCGGGTGCTGCTGAACAGGCGGGTACCTGCTGCCTCACGCCACGGGCAGGAAGGAATCCAGTGCTGCTGGAGAGCCTGGGAAGGAGGAAAAAAGCTTTGAAGTAACGGAATTGACCTGTCCACAGCTTACTGTACCACCTTGCTTGACTTGTCTTATCCAGAAAAGATTAGGTTAAAATGCTGGGGTTGGCTCCCATTCAATGGCTTACATTTTTATAGGAAGAAGTGTTACAGTGCAGCAGAAATAAGTAAACATCCAGATGTTTAAATACTGAAATACCTGGATGTGAGTTGATGATGAGAAAGTTGCTACTGAAAGGTGTACTATCTGCTGCTATGTAAAAAAGCTCATTCTTATTTCCAGACAGTGAGTTATAGTCTTCTCTAGTAAGAAACAAGATTCAGGGCATTTTTTTTTAAATACTTAAAATAAAGCAAGCTCTTCATTGCTCCTTCTGTACTTTCCCTTTAGCCAGTTCATGTTGTCATGACACTTTTCTGTTAAAAAACTTTCTTCTTAGAGACTCCCAAGCTGCCTCAGCTGTTAAAAATAAAGTGCCAAGAAAACATGAACAGTGCTGTGAGTGCTGGGCTGGCAGGTGAGAGTTCAAGCTGAATCTGGTGAAACAATTTTCTGTGTGCAGGCTCCACATGGCTCAGGGTGCTACAAATGCTATGCAGAGCTTCTCAAAATCCCTTGGGAGGGAAGTCAGCCCTGGCAGGTATTTACCAGAAATTACAGCTTCATTCTAATGGATTTTTTCTTAGTAGAAGTAATGAACTTGGGCTGACAGGTTGTTTGCAATATCCCTCCTGTCCCCTCATCTCCCTGTGAGAACCACCAACAAAAAAATATAATTATGTAATGAGAAGTGATACAAGACAGCCAAGTGTAAATTGTCCAGGGAAGGTTAAAGATAGATCCCCACCCTTCTCCCTTCACCACCCCAATGCCCGCCACCCTGACAACACTAATTTCTCTTACCATAGGTTTTGCTATTAGAGTTTTATAGATTAAAAACCCTCAGCAGCTGGATCAGTTGAATGTCTTTTGATGATAAGAATCTTCCATATTCTACCTTGATGACTGATATTCCATATTCTATCTTTATGACATAAATCAAGTCATGAAATTTTTTTTTCTTGCAGCTAATACTGGTCTATTTTTGGCTCAAAAATCCCCCAGATACCTAGGGCAAAATGTGCATATTTAAAGTTCCATGGAGTTTGTGTAGCCAATCTGATTAATCACATACAGTTTAATAAGTTGCATTTTTATGAAACACTGAAACTGTTTGGCAGGTAAGGGACCATTTTAGTGAACTGTCAAGATTTTGGTATCTTCAGCTTTTTTGTAGATTTTGTTTTCACAGTATCTTCATAAAATAATGCCACTTTAGGAATGAGAAATTTGAACAACCTTTATGTATGGAGTGAGGACAAAACCACCTCATTAGAATTCATCTGGTAAACAACCCCACTGGCTGTGGTGGCAGACTGGAACTGCCATCTCCCCAGGCACAAGTGCAGGAGGCCCTCATCTCCTGGCTCAGCCTGTCCATCGGTTCTGGCCATCCACCCCTGCTGCAGGACTTTCCACTGTCCTTGAGCCAGCGAAAGGATGGTGCATTTGAATCCAAAGATGGCAGGACAACTCTGGAGAAGAGTGTCTTTTGTTCTGTGGATATTAAAGGGGGCCCCTTTCCTGGCCATCTGACATCTAAACTTTCAAGCATTATGGTCACACTTTCCCAGCTTGCCCAAATACTATAGCACATGTAAAGACAACAGAGCAAGTGTCACCAATAGCGCAATCACTGTAGAATTACTCATGATACATGAGTATACTGGAACAAAGTGTGCATTTTCACTCATTTTGCCAGAAATAGAAATTTCTGTGCTTGTTCTACTTGGGGACTTTAGCACTTTGACTCCCAAGAGTTAAACATCCTAATGTTGAAAAAAACTCCTCCATTTCCTTCTGCAGGAGGTAATTTCTCTTCTCAGCATCTTCACGAGCACGTTCAGAATTCCTCAGCTTGATCTCCAGCATCGTGTATTTCTTTCGTTCTTGGTCCAGTTCTTCTTCTAACCTAACCACTTGTTTCCTCAGGTCTGCACTTGTTTCTTCAATTCTTAAAACCAATGGGGAGAGAGAGAAAAAAAAAAAAGCTTTTTAAGTGGGTGGATAAATACAGCTGGTAACTATAATAAATTTAAGTTGTTCCACTTAGTTCTCTCCTTTAAAACTTTCTCTTAGTTTCTAACTGCCATTTCATTCATGTTGCATTTAAGGGCAGAGACTCCTTGAAAGCTGGAGCCTTCTCTATTTGTATCTTGAGAAAATATGCTCAAATCTTAGAAAATGACATTTACTTTAGGGCACAAGACTGGATGTCTGAGGAGATGTAGTAACTCCTCAATTAGGCTGAGTGCAAATGTATAACTCTGAAATAATCTTTTAACCTCTGTTTTCATCCTGATACTGTTTCTCTATATGGATATCCAGTACAGAGCAACATCCTTGTAGATCAGGTCGGAGTCCTTCCTCACCATCCATTTAATGGTATTTTCTGTAAAGTTTGTTGTTGACCCTGGGGTGGGGTACAAGATTTTACAAACCCCAACATGTCATGTGAGGAAGAATCTGAAGAACAGTCTTTAAATTTAATCTGGGCACAAACTCTAGTGCAAGACTCAGAGCTTTTCACTAAGGACGTCAAAGAACAAGGTTCATGGTTTTGTGACTTGAAAGAAGCACAGAAGGCAAAGCAGTTGCTGTCCCCTCTGTCATGTTTCCTAATCATAAGATGGAGTTATGATGTTAATAAAGAGGAAGGAATATTTTCAGATAGGAATTTCTGATCACTAGGATATGATTTAAAAAATTAGGCTTTTCCTGGGAAAAGTGTACCCCCTTTAAAATAGAATGAATTTTTAAAAAATAATTAAAAAAACCCAAAACACCAAAAAAACCCCAAACATGAAACCACTCCCTGCTCTCAGTGATACCCAGCTGTGAAGCTTACCTTTCTGTGAAACTGCGAACAGGTTATTTTTAGACAGAGTAAATTATACTCAACAAGGGCATGCTACTGACTCCATACTAAAACAAACAAACAAAAAACAAATGGGGGCTTTGGCAGTGCCAGAAGGGTCTGAATTCCATTTTGTGACTGGCCAAGATGCAATTATGCAGGCAGTGCAGTTTGTCCCCTTGGGCTGTTCCTTTACATTGTTTTACATGCAGGTAAAGATGGCAATGGGATCCTTGTCGCAGTTTCCACAGTGAATCAGAAAGTCACACACAGGTGCACTGACCTGCACCAAGTTCTGCAAAAAAGGCCCATCTTGGTGAAGGCAGACCTTTATCACCAGCCAGCTGTGGCTTCTTGCCTAATAGGACTCTTCTGAAGCTGGGTTGCTTCCCCACACACACACTTTAAAACATTTTTGTTACATTCTACAGCTCTGAGCTGCCAATTACATTTTTCTACCACTAAATTTAGGGGTCAGCTACAGCAGCCTAGATTAGCTGTCTGTGTTCTGAATTACAGAGGGTAACAATACCTACTGCATTTCTACATACACAACATAGCAGTCCTCTCCAAGATACTTCCATTTTCTTAAAGAGTCCAGGTGGTAAACATGAATTACTAAAACTCAACAGAGAATGTCTGATAATTATATTAACCTTGAGGGAGAAATGCTCTGGAACAGGCTGGTTACAGGCAGGCCATAAAACTTGCCTCCCTCTGACTAAGAGAGAAAATAGGCAGTTGATGATGAGAAATAACAGCTTTTCCATCAGCAAGTGTTCCTTACATCTGCCACAGGCAGGTAGTGACTATGCTTTCCCTCCACTTATGTATGTGCCAAGAGAAAGCTCATGTTCTTTCATTAAAACTTGTCCTGCTACACACACAGAGTTCTGCAAACCACACAAGCACATGTACAACTGTAAAGCAATAAATTATTATTTTTGGGGACTAAATTATCTTCAATAAAATAAAGACAGTGAGGCAGCCTAAATTTTTCCTGCTAAGCAGCCTCCCTTCTTTGCTAGTTAGCTCTTTCCACAGAAACAGACTTTCATGCAGTCTCAAAAGGAACATATTTTTTCACATGTAAATTGCTGCAGATGTAGTAAAAACATTGCAAAATTTTTGAGAGCTGAAAAACTTGGCTTGAAATTCTTAGACTTGACAGCACAATCCTTCAGGCTGTAATCCTGAACAGCTGGAGTCATCCTGTTTGATACATAAAGGCTGTGATTGCATCTTGCCTGGTTTTATGAAACTATTAGTTCATTACGCATTTTCCTCTCAGTTACTTTTCCCTGTGAGACCTGAGCAATTTATAGCCCTCCCCTCCAGCCACAGTGCTCTCTGCCCTGTCCAGCTGAAGGGGAAAGGCAGGTGTTAGAGCTGAAGCAGCTGGAACTGCTCAACAGCTGGAATGAAGAACAGGTCTTCCTGGATGCCCCTGATGTTCACAGCTTAAGGCCCTGTTGGAGCAATTTTAGTAATAAGAGGTGGAAAGCCATCTCTTCCCCCAGGCAGCAGGTAAGAATGTGCAGCCTGGTGTTCCTGTTTATTACTTTCTTTCCCTGCATCAAGGCTTGCCAGAGCAGCTCTGCAGAATTAAATGCAAGGCACATACCTTCATCTCCTCCCATTCTGCATCAGTAGGGCATCTAAAAAATCCAAATAAGCCATGAACTACCACACTCATTCAGAGACCTTTTCCAACACCCCATGCTAGCAACTGGTGATGTTCTCATCAGCTCCTGTACCTGGAACACAACAAGGTGAGGGTAGGCTTTTCTCCCACTCTGTGATGGAACTGAAACTGCTACACAGCCTCTTTTTCTTTTCAGCTTCACACACCAAGGCAGGACAGTGCACGAGGCAGAAGTGCTGCAGAGGCTGGCAGGTCACCACCATAGGAAATCATAAAATAAAGCAGGAAGGTAGCAAGTAGAATTCCTGCCTTAACAGCTGGCCCACAGGAAGACATCAAAGTTCAGATACATTTCTGAGAAATTAATTAATTAACAAGAAAAAAAGTGGCAACTAATGCAGCCTGAAGCTGTGCTATACTATGCCAACTGTCATGTGTGCTTTTGGTACCAGGTTTGGGAGACTGTAAACTGAGGTATGGAAATGCTACCAGAGTTTTAGTAATTGAAGGAGTATAACATCAACACCTGAACACAAAAAAAACAACAAACCCTGAGAACTAAACTATTAGTAAAAAAATGGGATTACAGCCCTTCTTCAGTGCTTTCATGTGAATATTTCCCTGAGTGCTTGCCTGAAAGTCATTCTATTAAGCACATACACTCATAAAACCTAATATACCAACTCCCACAAATGAATAAATGTGACTTCCTAGTTCTTAATATTTTCTACTTTCTACAACAGCCCCTGTCCTCACACACAGCTCTCCTGAAAACTAGAGGAATTTTTCTGAGCTCAGCTCTTAAGTATAATACCAGCAGTTGTGCAAGGAAACACCAGTGGGCAAATAATGACACAAGTTTGCTGTCTGCTGCACAAGCTGCAGCTCGCTGCTACTCCAAACCAGGGGCTGCCACGGGAGCCAAAGACCACTTTTTACATAAAAAAACAAAAGCAAGGTTTCTAGAAGTTTAACACAAAAGGGCTGCAGAAAAAGTTGTAGCTGAGATGCAGTCCCAACACCACAAAAAAAATCCACTGCAGAATAGTTAAAAGCAGTTTCCTCAAGAATGTTCCTGTTGGGAAAAGCAACAAGAAGCCCTCACTTTCAGACTGATTTGGTACAAATACTAGCACCTGCACAGACCAACAGAGTTCTTTGTTGAGGCCTGACCACGCTGGGTCCCAATTCCTGCCTCTAAGATTTGCTGTTTCTCTGAGGACAGTAAGAGGAGACTTTGGCATTACCTGTGCTGTTCTCATTTCCACTGAAAACACAGAATGTGAAATACTGGATTTCCCTGTATGCCAGAAATCCCTTTTTTTTTTTTTTAATGACCTCTTAGATCAGAGAAAGAAAAGCTGGATTCAGAAAGCAGTGAGGAAAAAGCAGGACCAGATCTGTCATCTAAACCCAAACTTCAGGTCTGAGATCCTGATACCCTTCAGAGCTCATGCTCAGACAGGGCTAATGTTGGCAGACAACTTCCTCATCCCCCCTGCAGATGACATTACCTTTTGATACTAGTCTCATACTCAGTCCTCTGTTTGCTCAGTTCTGTCTTTAGCTCCACCACCAAGCTCTGTAAGGCCCTGGAGCATTGGACAGAGTCTCGGGAAGCTGCAGCTGGGTCGCTCTGTTCGCTGCTGCTGCTGCTGCATGCATCAAACCTGTCCATGCTGTTTTCCAGGTCTGCAGTCTTGCCCTCGCTCTGAGACAGCGAGCCCTGAGTTATCCACTCCGTTTTGAGAGAGCTTAAAGCAGAAGAGTCACTGGCCCGGCAGGCTGGGCAGCTGCTGACTGAGTCCATCACGGAAATCTCACATGACGACGTTGACCATGTAGTGCTGGCCATGCTGTGTGTGCTGAGGGACAGGCTGGATGAGGGGACGTTGTCATAAGTGGAGAGTCTCTGGGAGGAACATGAGTCTTTAACTCGCTCCCCAGATGCTGTCCGGCGGTGGCCTCGGAGTGAGTACAGTCCGTTCATCAACCAGTTCCCGCTGGAGGAGAGATTGGGGATATCTAAGGATGAGCTGCCGAGCTTTGGACTCACAGACCGTGCTCCCTGCTGGCGGAAGGAGTATTTCCATGGAGGCAATGTCTGCACTCTTTTACTGGGGCTGGTGGCAGGCTGAGTTAATTTGCCACTATGCTCTGGAGGAGTGTTTTTCACTGCAGGTCCTGGGGTGGCCTCTAGTGCCACAGCATTGCTAGAAGGCAAATCAGCGGGGCTGGGAGCACTGTTCTCCGACCTGCTGTCCTCCCCGTCCTCCTCAGAGATCCACTCCACAGTACTGCGCTGCCGCACGGGCCTGATTTCCAGCTGGCTCCCTGGCACGTCTGCCTGAGGAACAGCAAAGATTCGCCCCTGTTCACTTATCAGCACTGTCATCAGGTGTTGAACTAGTGAGGTGCCTGTGAGTGGAAAACAAAGGCAAGCAGTTGAGGAGAGGTGAAAAGCCCTCCCAGACTCATCCCCAGCCTGTGGGATGTCCAGTGAGCTCCTTTGAGGCCTGTGGCTGCCATGCCTTTCAATGGGTCTGCACAAGGAGCTACTCTGGGCCTTTCTATACAGGACTTCAAAGGAACAGGAGTCATTGCTTTTGCTGGAAAGTGGGACTGTGAAGGATGTGGGTCTCAGTTCAGTTCATGAATGTAGCTGACTAGCAGAGCACAAATTATAACTAGCAATGATTAATAAACTGACCTGCTTAAGCAGGCTGGAAGCTTAACTGACCTTGGAGGATGACAGAGGTGGAGGACACTTGGAAAACAGGGCAGGTCTGTACCACACCAGGCATGGGCTTCAGAGCCAGCATCAATCTCAGCGTTTGCATCCACGCAGGATAGTGCAGCCCTGTGCAGGCAGGGATGCATGGCAAGATCCTGAACACACTAACCTATTCGCTGGGATGAAGCACCTCTCCGTCCAGCTTCCAAAACCAGCAGGTTTACACAGCTAGGTTGCAGTCAGTTTTATAGTCTGAACAGGCCCAGTGCTACTTGCTTATTGAAGAACCAGAAATTTCAGCTCAGGCCTTCTGCTGCACTCAGTGTGCAGAGAAACTTGCAGAAAGTATGACATTTGCATGATACTCGCAGAAGGTGTACAGCAAGTGCAGAAAGTACTTGCAATTATTTAAATCCACAGAAATGAGCTATCATTGTTTTCCAGTAGTGGAGCCAACTGTTATGAAGTAATAGAGAACACCACACTTACCAAACCTAATACAAAGCACTTCCTACAAAAGAGAAAAACCCTTAAAAGAGTGCATATGCCATTCTATCTTTAAGTACTACCTAAAATAGAGAATAAGACCAACATACTCAGGCATTCAAGACAAAAGCCTGATTTTAATGATGACATTTTGGCCTGACAGCAAGAGGTACTGAACTCACCTACCACTTCTATTTTATGTCTGTGAACGCAGGAAGAGAAATAAATGTCTTGAAGATAAGGGCATTCCTAACAATTTAGCTGTCAAACTTCAGATATTTCTATTTGAAATTCATGGTTTAAATTTGAAGAGAGACACAACTAGAGCGCTTTTGTTAAGATCGGGGTGCAGTATTTTACTTTACCAGTTTATTTAGCAGATTGAAATTACCCTGAAGCTAAAAAAAATTGAGTCTGTACACTTCTCTGTTATTTCTATCTGATCAACTTTCTATCCTCAACTAAAACAAAACATTGCTATTGCTGTTGTTATTAGTATAATGATTAAGTAAAAAAATCCAGCCTACATATCCCAATTTTTCTACAGTTCAGATCTACGTCAATACAGAATTCCAGGTCAGATCACTGTAGTGTTTTTAGATGATGATTAGGAGAGACCAGGAGACCACAGCATCTGTGGCACCCGTGCACCTACACACAATACAAGCACCTCTGCCATCAGATGAATGGCATAATGAAATGCCTGAGGTGAACTGAACCCAGACTTGTCACCTGTGCCAGCTGAACAAAGAGCATGCTGTTGGCCCAGGCTGTGAGAGCCGTACCAGCGCTGGCCCAGTGGCCACTAGGGGAAGTTACAGCATCACACACGGGCTGATTTCCACTGTCCCCACCTCTCTAATACTGAATAATCGGCATGTGCTCCCACGCTCCCTTCTCCTCCCCGGACTTTTGTACCTTCCACACTTTGAGGAAGTCTCAAATCTACCCTTAATAATATGGCCCACATCTCTGTGGTAGGTTTTGAATCCCCGAACAACTAGAATATGTCAGGTCATGCTCTGAAGTTGTCCTTACAGTGACTTGCCATTATGGGCAACATCTGCACATCACCTGTGCAGACCTAAAGGCACTGCTGCTACTACAGCATAACAGTATTGGTGTTCTGTGAAGGATTTCCATCACGCAGAACACCACATCAGCTGTCCCCTACAGCTCAGGAGCAGCACCAGAGCCAAGTTCAAACATCCTGGGCACAGCATCTCTATCTGTGCCTGCTACTGCACATCTGTGCAGGCTTGCCAAGAGCCCACAGAACTCAATGCAAAGACCCTACTAAAGCCTGCCCCACAGTAGTTGTGTTCCAGTGCCACCTGGGAGAGGAGCTGCTTCCCAGCCCTAGTGTCAGCCTACTCGACCCATACAGAAGCAGATGATTTTAAAGTTTCAGATTTTTACATCCAAAATTAATGATTTTACATCCAAAATTAATGATTTTCAACTCATTTCTTGCATTCTGTGAAGTTCTGACCCATATACAGTCTGCTTAGAAAACTACACTTCTAAGACACCTAGTTATAGCCACTGTGGCACAGCAAAAATTACAGTCCTCTCATTGTGGCCTGGATGTTTTCTACAGGTTGCTGTATAACCACTGAAATGCACCATTGCTAAATGACAGCAATTTGGTACTTAAGCATGGTCCTCTGAAAAACATGTGAGCTTTCATTTTAGCAGTAGGTTCAAAAAGAGTTTCCAGGTGGCAGAGGCATCTCCACATAGTGGAGAGACACTCCCAGACCAGCAGCAAATGGAGTAAGAGAGGCCAACCAATACACCCCCTTCATAGGCACTGATGGATGGCTTGACTTGTTCTGACTGTGCAGCTACTGATCAGCTACCAACAAATGCATGACCTACAGCTCCAAAGCACAGCTGTTGTGCTGTCTCACAAGAGCAGTACCTACCTTCCATCATGGTCACCGGATCTTCCATTTTGGGACGTAATATATTTGGTCCGAATACTGTAGCCAGGTTCTGGACACTCATCTTGTTAATGCTGGAGTGAGCCTGAACTTCATCGAGGAACCTTGAAAAGCCCCCCCAGAAAAATCAAAGCAGGAGGGGAATAATAAGTAAGTCACTTCTTAGACTATAGGCATTCTGGGGCAGGGACAGTTTAGTCTTACTTTCATACAACCCTGACACCTGAAATGATTCTGGGGACTAACGCAGCCTAAATACTCAGTAATTACCCCAGATCCCTTTTAGTGTATGAACTAGAGAAGACAGGATGGTTTCTGTCAGAAGTACCCATCTAGCAGGGATCCAGCCTTCTACTCGGTCTGAAAGGACAGCTTTTTGCATTTTTATAGGAATTCTCCAATTACACAGATTGACATAGTTTTCACTTACAGACATAACATAATTAAAAAGACATTTCACTCTTCTCCTTGTCCTAGAACTAGCAGTCTGTGAAAAAGGCTTGAATTTAACAAAATACAGATCACAGAATCATAGAATGGTTCGGGTTGGAAGGGACCTTTAAAGATTATCTCATTCCAACTTCCGGATAAAAAGGCAGCCCAAAAACTGGGAAAATCAGCACAGAGATGAGGGGAGACAAGGCTGTGGAGTCCCTGGAATCCAAGAGGAAGCTACTCCTAACCACACTTCCAAACCAGAGCAGATGCCAGACTGGCTGTTCTGACTGCATCTGCTACTCAGCTTGTGTCATAAATTTTCCAAGTGTGCAATACGTAGAAATAATGTCTTTCTTTAGTGGTCTGTAAGTACTTCTGAAATAAACAATATAATACATTGGTATCATTCATGCCTGCTGCCAAGGCTGTGGGTGACAGCAATTTGCTTGGCCGATGCTCTTGGATAAACCAAGAGCTTCCTTCAGGCAGGCTGTTCGTTCACCTCTGAATGTTTTATAGGAGCAGTAACTTACACGTAAGTGATGTCTGAATATTCATACATTCAGAGTATATTATTTGCATGTAAGCCTCACAAAACTTAAAGACTTTTCCAAGTGTTAATTAATTTCACTTACTTGCATATGTATTTGAGGAGGTTGTAGTTGGCTTGGGGCAAATTCTTCACCTGTTTAACCAGTTCCTGGGTTCCCTGAGGGACGGGAAAAACAAGAAGGAGAGATATTAATGTAAATGCTGCAAAGCAGATGTGACTTTCCTTCAGTACTACAAAGTCCTCTTTCCATGGCCAAATGCTGCACAACAGATGACAACACAAGGACGCTTCGCTTTAAAAGAGGTGTCATCTAATGCACTGTTTATTAACAAAAGAAACCACAATGTCCGGAACTTGACTCAGTTCTCAGTGGAAATCCTCCAGTCAACTTTAATGGTTGATGTAGAAGTCTTCAATTAGTAAAGCCTGCCAGCCTTCAAAGCCTGCCCACTGGCATCAGTGGCAATGTACCAGCAGATGTGCCTTTGCAGGACATGGCCTATTTGAAACTTGGAGGCACTGAGTGCAGTACAAACACATCGCAGTAATGCTCAACTGGAGCAGAGGAGAGTTTTTCTTGAAAAAGCTAAATGACACTCCAACTACCTCCTGTTTAATTACATACTTCTATTTGCAGTCATTCTGACCGGGAACATACTTCCTCACAAAATTTCTGTTTTCACATTAAAACGTAAGATGAGACATCAGCTGAATGAATGACTTAAAACCCTGAAGCTATTTAAATCATATAATGAAAACCTCTGACTCAGAAGGCTATTGTCCTGCTACAGTCCTAAGTATCATTTGCTTCTTCCTGTCAATGCTGCAGTTGCCCTGGATATTTGCTTATTTTTGGGGACAATTAAACCTTTTGTAGAAAAATAGATACCGAAGCACAATTATGAAGAGTGATAGCTGATGACAGAGGGCTGCAAACTAATGATGGAGACATTCCAGAAGCAACTGGTTCGGGGCCAAAGAAGTGCAGTTGGACATTCATTTCAAACTCTCCTCAATTTATTAAGGACTGTTAGGGAGGGAATTCTGTTGGCCAGACTCTTGCAAGATCTTCCTGATTTCTCTGGTCCAGATAAGTCAGAAAGATCCAGAGAGCAGTCTCTATCCTACCTTTCTCCTTAATGTCCTAAATGTATAGGTACTTCTTTATTCTGTACGTCCCATCACAAAAAAAAAAAAAAAAACCAAACAAAAAAAAAACTTCTCTAGTAAAAACCTAAAACATAAAACACAATTCTTAAAAGCAGCAGGCCTTTTTTAATTCCTTAGCTTAAACACCATGCTGTTTTAACAGTGACAACAATGGAGACAGCAATAAAAGGCCAGTCGCTTTTGAAAATCACAATCTTCTTTTTTAACTTCTGAAAATTTTTGAATCAAGAACAGCTGCTACTGACATGAAGGTTAAGGTCAGTTGTTCAGGTCAAGCAGCTTTCAAGTGACAAGTTTGAACTAGAAATGGGTGAGCTGACAGACCTAATTCCCTCTTGAATTTTGCTCTGTAACCCAATTTATTTCAAATAAGGAAATCAAGATGGTATTTGGCACTATATTTCAAGTACTCTGCATTAAAATACCATAGCTCCACTGGAAGCAAGAGGAGGCTTTAGAAAGAAAACTGCAGGCAGCTGTGAACAGCAGGGAACATGACCTAAAGATACAAGATGCTACCTGAAAGAAGAAAAGCTTCTAAAAATTCATCATTCATGCTCTGTCACAAGGAATCTCAAACATGGTATTATACAGAAAGTATCTTCATATTTATCAAGGTAGAAACACCTGCCAGGTTAAAAAAAGCTTTCTCTCCTACTGCAGCATTTATAAGCTGTGCCACAGATTTGTACCCACCAACCACTTGAACTGCAAGAGGGCAGAAGGCTGAGCCTGGTAACACCACAGCGAAAGCGTAAAGGAAAACACAAGCTCGAAACCGCTGAATTAACAAATAGCACTGACCATGCTATGGCTGCAGCCCAGCAAGCAACACAAGCACTGCACTGTTATTCATCGTGGGATTTTGCAGTGATAACTCTTACCTCCTTGAAAATGCTGCTTTCCAACAAATTATCCCAAACCCAAGGGTTTTGCACTGTGTGTAACAGATCAGCACCAATTTGGAGCTTCTAGTTTGGCTGGAAAACTAGTAACACTTTAGATGCTCATCCAAATTCAGATCCCTCTTTAAAAACTCAAAGCCATGTGTTCAATCCACTGAACTGCTGTGCAACTCTAGAGTACAGGTAGCAGTGAAGGCTGAATACTACCATGTCAAGTCAGCTCAGACTCAAATGAGTTTTTAGAAATTTGAAGATCTCTCTTTCTCTAAAATTGTTTTTAATTTTTGATCCCTTCTCCAAATCAATCGGGATCAGAATCAAATCTTTTTTAATGCTGCAGTCCTGCTGAGATACCTGGAGACCTCAGCACAATCTAAGGTCTCTGTTACGTTTCTGTTTGCAATTGAATACCAGAGATGAGTTGGATACAGAACGAAGAGATGAAAAGCAATTTGAATGAAAAATGGAAAGCTTAGCGCAGTGCTGGAGTTAGGCCAAGCTAAAATCATAGCAATTTCTATCCACAATCACAATGTAGCAGCACAAGGTGCCAAAAGTTTTATTCGAATGGCTAATTTGCCTTGAGCAATTCTGGTTCTATTGGGTGAGGGGGGGAGAGTGGGTGTGTAAAACTAAAGAAACTGATATTTCAAGTTCCAAGTAAAAAATGAAAACAAAATAGTACTTCAAACTAAACACCATGCTGTTCTAACAACGACAACAATGGAGATAATTGTTTTAAATAATGTTTTATTCTTTAATAAATATGTTTTGATTTTTAAATTCCCTGCTTATCATTATGTGTTACAAATTATGGTTTCAATGAAACCACAGTTTCTAGGCAGGGGGATTTTCCATGTGGGAGGCGGCGAGTCAGGCCCCACAGGCTAGGTATGACTTTGTGCTACATTCTGCTCCACATGCTACTGTGCACGTACAGCATCTCCACCCTTGGTGTGGGCACTCCACCTTCCTTTCTGAAAAAGTAAACAGTCCTTGCTAAGGTTCCAGATTTTATTGAAAAATAAAATTGCTTATGTTTACAACAGCAGCTTAACAAAACAACTCTGTGCTAGGACCAGTGCTGTATTTTGTAAGCTTTCATTTTGGCTATCTTGTGCTCCCCATCACCTTTCTCATCCAAAGAGAATTCTGCACTACAAGTCATTTGAGTCTGACCTTGCTCCCACAGAAGCAACACAGATGTTGCTTCCCAATCTGCTGCAGCCTGTGCAGGCAAAATCAGGCAGACAACGTAGTTAATAAGCTGAGCAGTGATATACAATTATGTTTGCCCAATTTGGCAGTGTCTCTACTCTTGTGCAACAGTGCTTAATGGATCCAAAACTTCTCAGTCTGCACATCTTATGACCAAAATGAAACCAGCTCCACCGCCTCAGAAGTACTGCTGTTTCTTGTGAAATAACCGCTGTGTGGTCTGTAACACAGCACCCTGCAGAGATGCCTGAGTTCACTGAGGGTAAGGCAGAAAATGAGCAAGTTTTGGAGCTAGTAGACACATACCCTCTACCTATGAAAAGACAACACTAGTGCACTGACACACTGATGTGGTTGTGTCCAGGATGCAAATGCATATTCACCTGTGGTAATATACTGTGCCATGCACAGAAATTTGCTTTCTTGGAGCTGATTGGAGGTTACATCATTTGAGTGTTGAGAGCAGTAAACTTGCCTTTTAACCATAAAATCTTATATTACCACATATGCTACATTTGAGGCATGCAAACAAGCTTCTTCATATGGGCATCATGAAGGACAATCTCCCCAGATCCTTCTGCCACTTGAACTGAAGGTGAACTCCAGGCTCGCAGTGAAGAACAGAATCCCACCAAAGACAAAGATGAGCATGCTCTTGAGACCACACACAGAAAACAGAACTGTGGACTGCAGCTTAGAAGCCCTCAGGCCTTTGCCTCTTCAGCAAAGGAAAGACACCAGTAACAGCCCTTACAGCTTCTTTAAATTGCTGTTTAGAAAGTGGCACAGTTCCACCGCATCAGACCAGATCCAACGTGCCTCTGCAGACAGCAAAGGACTAAGGTAAGAAGAACAATATGGATGAAACCAATCAATCAATCATATTGTAAATTATCCTACTCCTCTCAATCAGTGAATCAAAATTTCCATGATTGCCACAGACTTGATGACTTTTGTCAGCCCCTTCCCTTGCCTGGAAACCAAAGAGAAGAATATCATAAGAAGGTTCTGGCAAAGTATTCATAGCATTATTTCCCCCCCCCATTTGGGGATAATAGCATAGTCTGCTCTTTTGTAGTGCCTTTCCTCTAAGAAATACAAAGGCCATTGCACTGATCACTGTCTCATCCACCAAAAACTTTGGGAAGCAGAATATGTTGTTCTGATATTTAAAATGGAAAACACGGGGAAAGGGAGTGACTTTATACAGACTGCTAATGGGTTAACAGCAAGGCTGGGAAAGGAACCCATACCTCCTTCCTACCTTGCATCTCTTGCTGATTATGCTACAGAACAGCTTTGTTTAGAAAAAAGAAGCACCAGGCTACAAGACTGACTTCAAAAAAAGCTCCTGCTTCAAGCAATAGCCTGTGACAATAGCACTCAATTCACAGCTTCAGGAAAATTCAGAGGAAGGTTCCCAGGGACTTCACTGATTTAAATCAAGATTGAAGAATGATGAGAAAAAAAATTATACTACACTGATCTGGGGAACAACCTCTGATGTAGAAGGAGACAGATTAGAAGGATCACTGACCTCTCCTTCATCTTTTGAGAGTAGCTGTCCACAAGAAAGAAAGTCTTCATATTTGGCAAAGGGGATGACAGGCTCTGGCAGCTCTCGAAGGTAAAGCTTCAGGAGGGACGCCACAGTGTGAACATCTGTGTTGCTGCAACAGAGAAGAGGGAAGGAAATTTAGAAACCCGCATTACTGTAAAGTTTGATGCCTTTCACTTGGGGTGCATCAAGGTCCCTCTTAGGGACAGGGACAAAGTAGGCACATGGAAGGAAGCTCTTCCACCACGTGTTTGTACTAGACAGGAGGGTCTACCTGGAAACAAGGGAAATCTCCCATTTTGTCAAGATATAAATGCACCTGAGGCAACACAGGCAGTGGAAGGGATATGCCCATGATACTGCTTCAGGGAGGGTGGCACTGCGGTTCCTCAGCCAATGTGGATCGGGAATGCGAGCAATACAGTCCAGGCAAGTGCACAGTGAGCACACAGCATTGATAATAGAGTTCAGCTCCTGATTCCATGAAACATAAGCTCTTAGCCTCCCACTGATCCTTCCTGATACTCTCCCCAGCCAGCACACACACACATGTGATGGGCCAGGCTCCCAAGTGTCCTAGTCAATCGTTAGGAAAAAAATGGAGGAAGCTGTATTTCCTCCAGGTCCTCTACTGCCATTTGGCATGGCTGCCCGGCTTGTGGGTCACATCCCCTCCCCCAGACTGGGGTATCTGGCATTTCCTAGCACATCTGTTATGACAGGATATCGGCTTTTATTTTCTCTCCCAACCCCAGAACTTCTTTTTCCTCTTTTCTCTCCTTTGCTTTAAGTTGGGTTTGAGGTGTTAGATAGCACGATGAAGATGCATCTGTTCTTCCCTTTCCAGCTATCCAGCTTTTGGTGTATGGCAATACCTCTCCCTCATTTCAAGTTTCCTGTTTTACAACTTTGTTAATCATTGCAGGTGACCTCCTCAAAGGTTTTGAGTGTTGGAAGTCTAAACAGGTTTTGTCACCAGCTCCTCCCTACCCACCATTATTCTGGCGGTCTTTAAGGAAGAGAAAAACACATCATAAACATTGGGCAAGGGAACTTCAAATCTTTCTGCTATCCAAAATCTGAATATCTTCTACTTAGTACACTTTTAAGCATTTTTGGAACACACGGTTAAAACAAAACTGGAAAAATTACAACAGGAAGTTGTCAGCAGATACCACTTGCTTCTAATCCTGCTAAAGCTATTCCTATTAAACAGCTCCATCATATTTGAGAATACCACAGTTTCACATAGTGGTTTTCTTCAGTTGATTATAAACATTCTACAAATGAGATCAGTACCATTATTCATTATTCTTTTTTTTCTGTAGTGCAGACTTTCAGGCATGGATGGTGGATATGACTATCACTGAGCAGCAGAGCCCAGACTACAGCTTCAGGGCTGCTGGCTGCAGTAACTGTTTCATCCATGATGCCATGTGAAATCCAGCCAAACTTTCAGTGGCATGAAAGTGCAATAGGAGCAGACTGCTGTAGGTGCTTCCAAAACAGCAACACCTGGCCTTTCATAAGAACATGCATATGCATTAAAAACCCAAATTGGAAAAGCAAGCCTTTTAAAAATAAATATTTTAATTATCAGTCATCACAGAGATCTGATCCACCATGGGGCAGGCAGGCTCTGTCTGTCTGGAAGATCACTGTAGTTACAAAAGACATCTACAAGTGCTGACTGCAACTAGGAAATAAGAAAGGATATTCCTTTCACTACACCTGATTTGGAAAGAAGCATAAAGATTTCACACTTCTGTTGCCTAAGCATCCCAGGCCATACCTAGATAGTTTTAGTTACACACAGAGAAAATTACATTAGCTAGGAGGAGGAACATTTCACTTAGCAACAAGGGAGAGGCAGTTACACTCTGGCTATCTGTGACTATACATATACATAAGATAGATTATATATATACAAGACTAGAGAGAGCTGGGCCTGCAAGTTGCAGTGGACATGGTGGAAAAAGCAAAAGGCAATAACTGGGAGACTCTCAACTATCACACCAGCCAGGTACTCCAGGCTTGCTTCCTTTAATTCTGTACTGAACCTTCAGTTATCATATCACACATCGACTACCTGAAAGGCAGGCATTCCTTTGTGGAGATCTCTAGTTAAAGGGGAGACTTAGATGCTGATAGCACCTTTATTTTCATAGGCATTTGCACTGGCTAAGTAGATCAGTGTCGAGGGTGGTGAGGCACTGGAACACGTTGCCCAGAGAAGCTGTGGATGTCATCCCTGGAAGTGTTCAAAGCCAGGCTGTATGGGCTCTGAGCAACTTGTTTTAGTGAAAGGTGTCCCTGCCAACGGGAGGGGGTTGAAACGAGATCATCTTTAGGGTTCTATTCTGCTTTAAAAATGCTGGGTGGAGGCTTGGCTTATCTTTGTAGCAATGAAATTAGTATAGATAACACTAAAGTAAAACATGAAATTGAAACTGTCATTCCTAATTAACTCCTTCCATAGATACTCCTGTTCCACAGGAGTATAACTGAATGTGTATAAGCATTCAATTAAGATAATTCTAATTCTGAACAAGAACACCCAGACATTCAATTAAAAATACAAAGATTTTTTTTAAGAAAAGATTGAGACAATTTAATGATTTCAAACTTATTTTTTCATGAAAATATTTCTCAATGTTTGACACATCCATTTAGGGAGCAAATACTGTCTGTGGTTAAGAATCAAAGAAATGAGGATGGGTGGTCTGGGAAGCTGAGGGAAGGGAAGAATTAGAAGAATGTTCCAAATAAACTCCAAAGATATTCTTCCCAAGATGAGACCAAATACTGTTTCTGCCCACGCAGGAGAGTTCTAGCTCTTCCTGGATAGCAGGCAGAGAAGTTATTGGCAATGTTGAAACTAGCTGCAGGTCCAAGGGAAGTGATCCCCTAAGGTTAATGTGCTGGTAATATATCAGATGCCACCTGCATCACCTGGAAAAATGGTGCTAGTGAGTTCCAGCAAGAAATGATGCCAGGTCTCCAAGACAAGATCCCAGATCTGATCTCACTTATGGATCTGCGAGACAGGGATCAGGCCAGATCTACAAAATGGCCTTGGATCCAAATATGCCTGAATGGTCTCTGCTAGGGTCCAGCCCTATTTCACAAAGCATTATTAAGGTTAGCACAATGCTGACCTTCACTCTGGGCAGCATGTACATGTGACAGAGTAGAGGAAATGTTAGTTACAGGGTACGGACAGGATTTGACTGGAAGGGCCCTGAGAGCATTCACCTTTCTGATCATTTGACTGCCTGAGCTCAGGGTCAACATAGAGATATCAGAGCTGAGAGCTGCCCCTTCCCTGGCTGCCCTTGGATGGAGCGCTCAGAGACAGGTCTTCCCGTGGGAATGGATACTAAGCTGAGCATAACAGTCTCTGGCATAACAGGGAAGATGTGTGATATGGTGGTGACTATTCTGAAACCTGGTGACAAAGGAAGAGTTGAGCTATTGCCCCAGGCAGATCTGCTGTGTTTGTGACAAGGGAGAATGCAACATCTGAAAGCAATGAGATACCTAGTTCACCCCTGTCATACCCCCTTCTATGAGGGGATCCCACCAACTGCACAGTATGCTGCACCCAAATCTAGCAATGTTTTTCATTCAACACATGCTGAAGCTGAAACACTGGAGTAGCCCCATATAGATTAATGAGCCCATTTTTCCCTTTGCTCAAGCACTGAGCTGAGCAAAGGCCTCCACACCCAACACCACGCACGAGAAAGCTCCATCAGCATTTTAAATCAAGAGAATGGTGGTGTGGAAAGAACACATAAGCCAGGATAGCCACTGCAAGGACATTCCTGGCAGATTTTACATGTCAGAAATACACTAGCCTGAATTTGGTGATGTCAACTCACCTGTCAAAAAGGGGTTTCTCTCCACAATCAAAAGAATCCTGCAGATCTTTGACAAGGTTGGCTTGTCCAGGCATCCGAAAGAGCCCCTCCTCTGTAAGACCTCGCTCCCGAATAAAATCCACACACTGTTCCACCAGCAGCGGGGCCAAGCGCTGGCCATACTTCCGCTCGTACTGTACGGTGTCCTCCAACCGCTGTCCAAAGATCCCTGACAGCAGAGAGCAAGAAAGACATCTGGGTGTCAGCTTAAACTCCTCTTGAGCTACCGCTCGGGGCTTACAAGGGGGGGAAACTTTCATATGGAGGGGGGAGCCTCTGTGAAGGCCCAGTTTCTAACAGACTCTGAAGAATAAAATTATTTTTAAAAGCAAGAATTATATGACGAATGATTTTTTTTCCTCTTCTTAAGAGTGCTTCAAACTATCCTCTGCCCTAAGCTAGTTCATATCTCATACACAAGGAAGATGGGTTTAAGATTATGCTTATGGTAATCCACATCTGTACTGAGTTTGAATTAAGTAATTATACTTTTATTGCATCTTCTGTCCTAAGAAGACCAAAACAAAGGCTACACTGACTTTATGGGACTCATTTCCTTTCTGCATGCACTCTCCTCTTAGGCTCTTCTCACACAACTGCCCTCCAGTAGTTTGCAGCTAGCCAGCCCTACAAGCAGCAACCCCACTAGGAAGGGATTGTTAACACTGCAGAGTACAGCTGTCAACATTAGAACTGGCTATTGTGAGAATCTCCCACCATCTTGGGAGACCCTTTCTATATCTTCTTTTTAATTAAACTTGCTGCATGAAAATGAAAAAAAAAACCAACAAAAAAACAAATAACAGTAAAACGCATGCAAAAATCCATTGCCCTTTCTACTAAAAAGTGTGTGCTATATTTCTTGCAGCTTGGAAATATCAAAAGCACCAGATACCCTAAAACGAGACCGGCCTAGGTTAATTCTTAAGTCAGATCTACTGTAGACACACATCATTGGGTATGAAGCATTGTCTCTTTCTTTGGGGAACATGAAGTTCCTGGCCAGTCCCAGCTGCTGAATGCCACTACTGGCACCAGATCTTTTGACAAGGGGCTCAGGTTGTAAGAGCCAGAGGTCTTAGTTCAATTCCTGCCACTAGGAAACTGCTCCATGTAAAAGGACAGCCACTGAGTTGTGTTCAGAAATTCTAATTCTAACACTCCACAGTGTGTGGTGGAGTCATAGAGGACAGCATCCAAATTAATCATAAGTTTTGGTCATAAAAATTCAGTAAGTCAGGGAATCCCAGAATTTACTGAATTTCAGATGACAAGAGACCATAGCAGATAGGAAATTCTATTTAAAGATTTCTCAAAGCAAGAGGAAGCTTTCTACAGATATCAAGATCTTCAGATTGTTCATTCAGTAGTTAAACCTGCAGCTCTAAAAAAAAAAAAGCAGCATGCAATGTTGGACTTACACTGTTCCACAACCAATAGCCAGATACAGTGTTTAATGGCTGCACTTATGTGCTTATACCAGGTCAGGGAATTTGGTCATTTCTTAAGGCTCTACTTACCTTCCCGCTAGTGACCACGTGTTCCATTTTTACTTTAGTGCTATATTCATGAGAGGCTGATAACTTCTGGCAGGAAGCTTCCTAATGCCTGTTCACTGTTCTTCATAGGAGATACCATGTCAAACCATACCTGCTTTCTATTTTCAGTCCAACCCTGCTGAATCCTCAGTGAAACAAACCTTTTGTTATCAGTTTCAACTCCCAGAATGAAAGCTTCAAGAAGGATCCTGAATTCCAATTTCCTTTCCCTGCCTGTTTGTTATACATTAGAAGACAGAAACCTTCCTTACACCACAGCCTACACAACTGCATTACAGTATCAAAGCTGGAGGGCCATGAAAAGTCTCAAAGGAAATTCCCTCATCCTGGCAGGAGGGCATGCCCCGGAGCATGGGAGCGACTTATCTTTATCACTGTATATACTGGATTTATTGCAGAGTAAAGGTTTTACTAGTTCTCATTTCTAATCTGTTTGAATTTTCACTGAGTTGGGTGTCTCTGAAGTTACGTTCTAGGATAGGGAATGTCTTTCTGCTTTTGCACAGGTTGCTTGGTAATCTCATCACATAATCCCTGCTGTCATGATGGGGCATATCTATTTCCTTTAAATGATACATGTTGTTCACTCTTCTAGATGCAAGACATATAGGTTCAGGGAGGTCAGCCCGTGGTAGATAGCAGCAGGGCAATAGCAGCCCTATTTTCTCAGATGTCTACTTGTTGAATCACAGCCCTGTTTTCTAATGTGTCTGTTTAGAGAAGAGTGTGGGAAAGAAGTAAATGCTCTGCATTCCCCAGGCATAAAACACATATAATGTTTTTCTAAAAGCTCACGTTCTGGTGTTCTAGACTTAACTCAGATCAAGGACAAAGGCAGTGTCAGACACACACATAAGCGAGCACACACAGAACAACTGCATGCATAATCTCCACTGAGGCTTTGTCTACTTTTCCCGAGCCTTGGCTGGTCTGGGGTCAGCAACATGCTCTAATACATTTCAGGCAACATCAGTCCTTGCCTTCAACTTGGAGCACAACAGCTGAAGCTTTCTGTAGGTACAATCAACCTGTGAGTGACTTCCGAATAACAAACGGACTACAGTCAAACAGAGACCACTGACACAGAGATTAAGGAACGTGATGCTAAGGAAAGAGAGATAGAAAGGGGACCTGCTTTGAGACTCAGATGGAGCAGCAGATGGACCCTTCACAAGCATAGCATCACCATTACTGTCTGCTGCACATCCAGATGTTAGGGATCCCATCTTTCCCCCTTCTCGCACATTGAGGTCAGTAACACCTTTTTCTCCTGGATAAAAACAACGATCTTTGGAGGAAACAAAGGCACTGAAATATTCTTACACTGCAATACTGCTCCACCTCCCTCCAGACCATTTCAAATAGGTAACAAAAAAAAACCAGGCATGAGACCAAAACTGACACGACTGAGGATGAAGCTGACCTATCTATCACATGATGAGTGAAAGGAACTGGCACAAGTGCGGGTTTCTTCTTGTGTGACAGTGTGGGTTGAAGGGCTGTGCAAGTGAGATCACACAATCCGCACAGGTCATTTTTTGTGGGAAGATGACTCTGAAGCCATTGCCAAACTGAAAGACTTCTCCCAGCCCAGCTCTCTTAGGTGCCTCCCACCTTGGTTTGGCAGCCCCACTCCAGCCCAGCCCCAATTGCAGATCCATGCATTTTCTTTACCTTGAATCCTAATTTTTCCAGGAAAGCACTAGAGAAGATCACCAAGCATTGCACAGACCAAATATTTCACCCAAGCTAAGTCTGTTGCTAACTGCAACTTTTTCTCTGTTACATTTTTCCAGTTACACTGCATCTCTGTTTTTTCTTTATCCTACTTTTTTTTTGCTGAGCCACAGACAAGGACCACCACAGATAGTGCTCAGAAGAAAGACTGCTCTCAGGCCAAGTCTTTTGGCAGTAAGAGCATTATGGTTGGTGTTTAGAGAGAAAAAGCACAGAACTGCAGCTAGAGTGGAACTGGAAAGTTGGCCTTGGAGAAATTGTTCATCTGTGCAGTGGCTGCAGAACTTGTCCATGGCTTAGAAAGGGAAAGTAGTGCTAAGGTTCATAAAAGAGGAAGCTAAGAGCTATCTTTGGAGTGGGGCTGGAAAGGGACTGTCAAAGGCAAGTTGGAGATGCTGACAGTTCCAGGTTTGCAGAAATCTTTCATGTGGGCATCTGCTGGGGGACCTTGATGAAGCCTGCCCTCAGGAGAATTATCACCAGGGCTCTCACAACCACACTGATAACAGATGTAACAGATGTGCCTACTTCAGCCTCTCAGGGCTAAACAGGGCACACTGAGGAAGCAGTGTCCTGCTAGCCCTGTAGTGTTCGTCTCACCTCAGTCAGGTCTCACAAGAACTTGTCAAACTATGTACTAAAATGTCCGTGAAACTACCAGGTTATGACAGCATCTCCGGGTCGGACAGGGACTGCCCTGCCTTGCAAGGAAAAGCTAATGTGGAGCCAGTCACACACAGCCTCATCTGCTGGTTCCTCGAGGCACAGGCCTGTTTTTAATCACTGGGGCCTGCAGCTGAGACTGAACTTGGCAGCGCTTCACTCCATTTGATGATCCCGCTGGAAGACATTAAAGTCTTTTTCTTCATTCAGAAGAAGGGGAGCCAGTGCCATCCAGTCACACTCCAGACAGATTTAGGCTGGAAATAAAGCCAAAAGATTGCTAGCAACCTAAGGGTTAACTTTCCTTGTCATACCCTTATCTATAGTTAGGCCCTTTTGTTTGGTTTCAAAGCAGAAAAAAACTCCAGCAAGCCTGGAACCACATCCTTAATCTCAGAAAGATTCAAGAGATACAAAAAAAATGGGCTAGCAGAGCTACAGAATTTCTTTCCTCCACTCCAACAAGCTGCCTCTGTTCTTTAAAGATTTAGGTGACTCTTTGTGGAAAAAGCGAGCCAGGAATGATGTACTGACTAAGACACAGACAGGCTTTCTGTCCTGGCCTGAATAGCTCACCCACCAGCTCCAGGCATACAAAGCCTATACATTCAGCTATGCTGTCCAGACATGCAGTGGGCAGGAAAATATATGCTCTCTGCTACATTTTTCCTCTTCAGAGCTCTGATTTCAACCAAAATAAACTAAAGACAGAGATAAAGTCAGGTTTTGAGTAGATTTTTTTCATGGGGAGGACTGAGGACTCCATATGTGCTTAAAGGGGGAAAAGTCCAGACACACCTACGTCAGCTGTATGTACAGCTTATTACACACACGTTAAAAGATGTGTGGGAAGATAATCAGGCTTACACCTGGATGCTGCTGTACAACAGAACATACACCCGCGCACGCATGTGGTGCCTCACAGACAGGCAGTTTACGGATATAAAGATTGTGTACGTGCTCACCTGCACAGGTAAGTGCCTGCTTTTACCTTCCCACTTTCATTCTTAGTTTCCCATTTATCTGTCCCTCTCACACATGAAAGCACTGAGAAAAAATCACGGGCAGATATTCAGAAATGCATTTGCTTCTACAGCACAAAACACACACAAACCTATAACTTGTTTCCCCTCCCCTAGCCCACCCAAGCACACACTATGTGAATTACTGCAGCAGCAACAGAAAAAAGAATTGCTTGGAAGGAGCCATATGTACCTAAGAAAAAGACAGTCCTGAAAAACTAAGCATTCTAGTCAGCCAAAGAATTCGAGAATGAGGGAAAAGAAAGGAAGCAACAGATAATTAAGAATCAAGAAAAAATTATGAAATAACTTGCTCATGGTCACAAAAATGGGTCTGTGGTAGAACTGTGCGTCTTCTGACACTCCACACAAGGACTAGTTTCCATATACTAGGAGCTGATTGTTCTCAATCACATACATCCATTTAAATATTCTATCTAAAAGCAAAGAGAAACACTCCTCCCCAGAACTATCTTCAAATGCTAGCTTGGTCTCCACTAGTATTTTTGGCCATGGGACAATGACTCTCTCCTTCCCACTCTTTCCCCCTTTGTAAAGTCAGCTCCTATTTTAGATTCTTAGTTTCTGTCTAAGGTTAAACTCAAATATCTGCTTTTCCTCTAGAAGGAAAACCATAACAAATCTAAAGTCTGGAAAATCATCTCATACCTCTCGTTCTTGTGCAGCACTCTGCTACATGACAGGCGCTGAGCTTCAAGCAGAAACCAGGCAGTGTCAGACAGCAGGAGCGGCAGAGAAAGAAAGTCCTGACTTCAGGCATCAGACACATTCTGGGTCCCAGCACTGGCAGCTTTCCATTCACCCAGCGCTTCAGAGCGGAGAGCAGCCGATCTGCCCTGGGAGATAATCTCGGCAGCACATCTGGTCTTAGCTCCACAACTCGGCATTAATTATGACTTGTGCAGAAAGCATTTGAAATATCCAATGAGATGCAGAGCTCCCCGGCTCGTTCCGCACAGAGAAGGAGAGAGGAGAAAGACAGGCAGGTAGGGTCTTGCCCACCCTCGAAGCGGCCGCCAATGTAAACAGCAGCTAAGTATGGGTCACAAGTTTTAACAAAGGCATCCCCCATCGGCTCTGTAATATATTCATGCTCTAATTGCTTGTCAGATCTATTCTAGATAGCTGGAAAAGCTGAGCAACAGTTGCCGTCTGCATGCCACACTCTGGATCCCTTCCTGATACAGGCAATATTAGCTGTGCTGCAGGCAACCTGGTGCCCTGGTCTGGCCCCTGATCTGCTCGCAAAGCAACAGAACCAGAAACCTCATTTTGGAGGGGAACATTTCCCCAGAGTAGCCTTAACATGCTCCAAGAGTACCTCTACATGTTAGAAAGTTTTACAAAGCTTAGGAAAAGCTACAGTCCTTGACCTGTGCAGGTTTTTTGGTACTTATAGCCTCTGTTTTATCTTTTTACAGAGAAATTGCCTGACAATTAATATCTCAGCTAAATAACTGGTAGGGGAATGAACTAAAAGCTCCTTATATGTGAACCAGTACCCAGTCACTTTGCTTGCAGGAAAATATTCACCCCTCTCAGCTCCTGCTCTCAGAGAAAGAAGCCTGTAGTTAAGAAAAAGGCTTATCACACAATGCCCCGTGCAGTTATACAGAGATCAGCTCCCCATCCCATTCACAAAATGCACTCATGTGACTACAAATCTGCAGCAGCCACTACCCAAAACCTTTTTCACGAAGCTTCTGGGTAATTTTATCAAGTTTAGCTAACTACTTCTCCCTCTGCAGGGAAAAAACAAAAACAACAACAAAGTTATCCCTGTCCACAGCTGCTCATCTGCTTCAACTATTAAAATATGTCTGTGGTCACTGTATAGAGCACATTCATCTGAACTTAGTGGCCCACCACTTTCTTAGCTACACTGTGGCCCGGCTTGAACACACGTGTCAAAGAAGACACTGACCCAGTAGTCAACCTTTGAGACTCCAGTCAGTGAGACAGTGTTGTTCCACAACAAACTTCTCTACATTCTCTGTTTTGACCAAAAAGCTCCTGAAGAAAAGAGTACCCCTCACTACAGGTGAAGGCAGTACCAGGATCAAAAGCTCCAGTTCTTGAAAATGGTATGATTCTTGGGGCTGTCCTGTGCAGCGCCAGAACTTAGGTTTGGATGATACTAGTGAATCCCTTCCAACTCAAAATATTCTGATTGGCAAGGTAGTAAGGCATTCCTCAGCTATTAAAGGTATACCCTGAGTAGCATGGCATTGCACACCTAGACTCAGAAGCTCAGACAATACACTAGACGCTATTTAAAGCACACTACAGAATATTTGGAAAGTGATGGAAATCCTTAAACAAAAGGTACAGATGAGATCCTGGGTATTCCTCACCCTTTAATTATCCTCTCTTCCCTTGTTGTGAGCACAGAAGGCTGCAGGTTAGGGAGAGCCTGCCTACAGTGCTAACTCTTCTAAATGGCAGAGACACCACCAGGATTTTTGGCACTATTCCCTGGAATAATATCTCAAAATGTGTCCCATCTGTTAATAACGTTATAGCGCCTAAGACTCAGTGTTTGGGATAGGAGCCCAGGAGATAGCAAATGCAGACTTTTATTCTTCCATTCACTTCTCCATTTCTGTTTTCCATCTCTCAAAACACAGAAACAAGGAGGTATCCAATGAAATAGAAAGTCGTGCTGTTTAACGTGGATATTGTTATACCCAAAGTATAATTAACCTGTGAAATTCACAGCGTCCCTGTGGCCAAGGACACAGCATGACTCAAAGCATGATTAGACTTCTCCAGAGCCTATAATGCTATGAGTTGTAAGAAAGATGATGAAACTGATGCAAGCTCAGATTTCTGAGTTTTCCAAACAGCAAACACAGATCTCTGGTGACAGAAAAAAGCTGGAGCACACGCTTGCTCACATAAGCATCATAACTAAAGCAGAAAATGGCAGCTGCCTCAGTTTGTTCCCTGCACAAGGTAACTGTGCAGCTATAGGTGTCCTGTGACAGCAACGTTGTGCTACACTCTCCAGTTACCACTTATCTTCTTACATGAAACAACCCTCAGTCCCTTTAAAAATGTGTTAAAAATTCATGACTTAGACTATAGAATATGATGAGACTGGAATAAACACAATATAGATATAGGTATAAATATAAATTTTTTTCTTCTTGTTGAATTTCCAGGTCATACTTGGATCCTGCTTTCTCTGTTAACCCCATTTTCAACAATGAAATCCAAGACTCACACATAATCACTGGATTGCAGGGGCTGAAGACTCTAAAAGTATACTTGATACTGCAAGAATTGCAATAAAATCCAAAGAGTTGTCCACATTGCGTATAAACTACCATCTGGTAGTTTCACCTGGAGATCTCCTCACACACATGTGCCAAGGAGAAAAGGGGTAATGGAGATTGAACTCCCTCTTTCCCCACTTGTATGAAGTTTTTTAACTGTAGAAAAGTTTACCACTTAGCAGATCTTATTTTCTAAAGAATAGCTTAGGTTTATTAGACAGTGAATCTCACGTGAACTTGCTGCTGGGAAACTGGAGGCATTTTCTTTCCCGGTGTCATCGTAGGGACAGAATCCTAGCAATGCTCTCATGACCTAGCACCACTGCAGTTACTCTGTTGCAGGTACTGGAACACAGAGAAAGCATCCTGCCTATATATGTCACTACAAGCCTCAAGACTGGCTGGGAAGTTCACTACAGCTCACACAACCTCTGAAAATCCAAGCATGTTTTAGGCTTGGCATCTAACTCAGGTGAAATTCAGTCTTGAATCTGGTTGCAACAGACAGGACTGGTGAACCCGCATGAACTCATAAAATATTCCACCTCGTCTCTGATTGTGAGCAAACTTGTTGGCTTCTACAGCTCTAGCAAGTGCCCATAGGGTGTGGGTATTTTTAGATACAGGCTTAGCGTATTAGCTAATACACTCAAGCGGATCTGAGGGAGTTCAGAGCTAGGAAATTGCTCTATTTGTACAGAAAGGGCCTAGTATCAAAGTTAGAACCAGAGCTGAAGTTCCCTTATTTTCAAGAAGGTTGAGCCTTATACAGGCTCATTTTTTAATCCAGGTAAGCACAGGCACTTGAACATCTTATATTTGCTGAAAGCTGGCAGCGAATTGGCTACAGATCATCAGTCACAAAGCTGAACTCAGCAGGAAAGACTTTAGCAGTATGTCCTCTGTACAGAAAATTTCCCTTCCACTTTCCTCCCTCCCCAGACTCTTTGGTCAGAACCTTCTCCAAAAAAAATTATGACCCCACCCCCCTCACCTGCTGGGGTCTCCACCTTTACTGGTGAAATTAAATCTTCTGAGAATAAACAGCCTTCTGGTTACTGACTGATAAAACAGTTCACTCTGGGTTAAAGATTAGCAAATAGCTATACTCACCCTTCCATTACAGCAGATTCTGCCTAACCTGTGTGAGGTGTCTTCCCAGCTCTCCAAAATATGTCAGAAAAGGAACTGTCTAAGGAGCACAGTAAATTACCCTGCCATGGACTCTGACCAGTTTATGCTCTAAAATTGAGATTTTAACTGTGTGCTCAATAAGAAAAGATGATAAACAAACCTAAACATCACTTAACCACGCATTCTGAATCCAGAGCCCTGTGTTTATTGCTCTGTTTCTCTCTAAACAAAGGCAAGAGTATTTAGAGAACAAAACATCAAGAGCAACAAAAAAATGCCTTTTAGCAAGCAGTGATCTGGACAAACGTGCCCTGGAAAACTTCTTTCTTCCCACAACCTAAGATCATATTTTACAGAACCTTTTTGTTTACTGACTCTTGCATATGTCTCTCTATGTTTAAAAAAGAGCTTCCATACCATTGTCATAAGCTATGCCTGTAGAAAGCACCTGACCAGCAGATCATCTCTTTGAAGTGTGCTGCATGTTGATGCCTCCAATGCACAGAAAACTTACAAAAATTCTGGGTATAAGTAAGTTTAAAAAATAATTATGACATAGTATAATTTCTGCCACCAGTGTCTCATCACCAGAGATAGAATTCCAGCTGTGGGTTCAAATGCAAGGATCATGGAGTCTGAAACCTGTTGCTGATCCTCATCTCTAGTACAGAAAGAAATTATTTACCTGGATTTCTGGCCATCTAGAAACCTGGCAGGGCCTGTGATCTAGACTCACAACCAAAATTTAGCACACCAGGCACTTTTACCCATTCAGAAAACCAAACAGGTTTATGTCTGGCAGCTTTTGCACATCCCAAGACTTCCCATATCCCAAGGTTGAAAACGCAAGCACAGTCAGTCACTGAGATGCAGACAGGATCAACACTGAACACACCAGATGATTATCCAGCTCAAACTTCATCAGAAATACCTCTGTCAGTCTCTAACTTGCAATCGTAAAACTCACTGCCAGGTAAATTGTGTATGGTTTCACTTTTTTGTATCCTCAAACTCAACAAGTGGTGAAAATCTGTTACCTAATTCCCATATATTTTCCTTTATCCTCCAACGACCAACTTAAATCCTCAATCAATGAAAAGCACAACTTAACTTACAGCTTCACCACCCAAGCAATAACATCATCTCAGTTCCAGCAACAGCTGAACCTGACTGGCTCTGCTTGGGGAAGCGATGGCATTTAGTTCCAATTTGTAAAGTGGATAAACATTTCACTAAATTTGCTAGGCTATAAAGAACACTTCTAGACGAGGTAAACAGCTGAATGTTCCCTTCTGTCACCTGCAACTCAGAAGGCATGAAGGGGAAATTGCAAGTCCAATTACATGATGATGAAAGAGGAAAAAAAAGGAGCAACTGTGGAGGGTAGAAGAATAACATTAGAAAGAAAATAGGAAAAGAGAGACAGGGTGGATTTATTTGTTCTTGACTCCTAAATGGTTAAAACTGCAACTTGCAAGGAGCAGGTTACCATTCAGTAATCACATATCCTCATAACATTCATCAAAGGACTAATACACAGAAATTAAAATACTTGCCTGCAAGCTGAGAAACACCACAATAACATGTTTGTCCCATTAATACACAGTCAGGATGTGCAGTGAGAACCATCAGTGTTTTAAGGACTGTCAGCTTTCGGACATCAAGCACAAATCTAATGATTACAGGAGTGGTCTCACTGAGAAACCACCAGTGTAGGGGGTGGTGTTGGTCAGACCAAGTGCTACAGGCAGTAGGCACCAACAACGTGACAAATGCACAGCCACTGTCACCTCTCCATGGCTGAAGAGAAGAGGAAAGCAAACACAAGCCTCATCATATTTTATCTAAAGCTGAACTGCTCCTCACAACACAAGGCATATGAAGTTAATGACTGCCTCCAGAAATCTTTCTTTGATTGCCCAGGTAGACTTATCTTCTATGAACACAAATAATTTTATTTTTAATCCATATGTTATTTTTATTGTGACAATGAATTTCACATTTCAACTGTGCTCTACAGGAAACTCAATTTTTTTTGGTTCAAACCTCGTCACTGTGCACTGTTCAAATTCTCCTTAGATGTGTCATTTTATCCATCAGCCCTTCCTGCAGTTTTCTCTTTTCCAAGAACATTTCCAAAGTAATTTTTTTGAGGAAATGGATTCAGATGGATACATTTTACATCTTAATTGCTTATACAACCTCTGGAATACAAGATCAATTCAGGGCAGAGCTTGTATTAAAAATTCTACCCTGAGCTCAAAAAACCTTTCCTAGCACAAGTTTCATTCAAATGAAAACATACCCATATAATGTTTCTTTTTATCAAATCAGCATTTCCCAACCAAAAGAAGTTCCATCAAGCGAATCCCATGAAAAGCTTTACTCTGTTCACCTGCAAATGTTACGAAGTCACTTCTGTTTGTAGTTTTTCTCTACCTGCTATCTGGTTGAGCAGAGGCACCGAGAAGCTGCCTGCCATTCCCCAGCTCGGGGTGCCTGCTCTTTGGTGCCCCAGACTGCCCACAGTAACAGATAAAGCACTGCAAATTCATTCTCCTGATGCCAAACTGCATTATCCTCCAGAAGCCACTGGGACTAAGCTGGCTAACGACAGCTGGAGATGGTGCTGCAGTGCAGAACTCGTGCTGCTGCCTGGGGCTTTTGAAACCAGTAGCAGGTGACTTTCCCCCTGTCAAGCCCTGACACAGTACTCCAAGAAAATTAATTTTTGCTCTGTGTTGACCAGGCTACTGCATGGTCTCCACTCAGAAGCCAGACCAGCTTAGGCTCTAATACTGAATGTCACTGAAAGCTTTGACCCAGCAGCTTTAAAGGTGAAATACATGCAAGGAGCAGGGGAGCAGGATGTGACTTCTAAAGGTAAGATCTTCAAAAGTCAGTAAGGAACACCTTTTGCCCTTGACACGCTTCACTTTTGCTTTTAGTTTTAGACCCTTTCATCAAATATTTATACACACTGATAGGAACCATTCTGCACCTTCTCTTCTTCAGGTTAAACAATCCCAGCCTCCTCAGCTTCTCTTAGTATTTTACTTGCCACAATCCTTTAATCATTTTAGTGGTCTTTCACTTGACTCACTCCTATAAGCCCATGTTCTTGTCCAGGGACACCAGAACTGGACAAAGAACTCCAGATGTGGTCTTACCAGCACTGAGGGGAAGGCTCACCTCCCTGAACCTGCTGGCAATGCTCTTCCTAATGCAGCCCAGGAACCTGTTGGCCACAAGGGTGCATTGCTGGCTCATGTTCAACTTGTCCAAGAGCATCTCAGGTGCTTCTCTGTAAAGATGCTTTCCAGTCAGTCAGCTCCCAACATACACTGTTGACTACGTTTATTCATCAACCTCAGGTGCAGGACTTTGCATTACTCTCTGTTGAACTTCATGGAGTTCCTATTTACTAATTTCTTCAGCCTGCTGAGACCCTTCTAAATGATGACACAATCATCTGATACACCAATCATTCTCCCCAATATCATCTGCAAGCTTACTTGAGAGTGTACTCTGTCCCATTTTCCAGGTCATTAACAAAGCTGTTAAACAGAACTGGCCCCAGTGTTACGCTTCACATCCCTAACCAAATTTAACTACAGGTGTCCTTTTCCTAAGTCCGTTCCTGCATGCTCAGTTTCTCTGTAATTCCCCTCTTAGGTCACCGGTCCCTGCTTCCACTTCTGTGCTTCCTTTGTGGGTAATGAGCTCTGTCAGGAGCTCCTTGTTCATCCATGCCACCTTTGCTTAGTTAAGGAGTGCTGTTTGAGCTTGAAGGAAGTAATCCTTAAAAATCAACATGGTCTCCTGGCCCCCTCCTCTCTCCATGACCACATCCCATGGGATTCTTCCAAACATATCTCTGAGAAGGTCAAGGTCCAGAGTTCCAGACAATTTTTCTATCTGCATTCAGAGTGGTTCTTTTACAGACAGTCATTGTCACCTCCGGCAAGTTAGCTGATTGCTCAATACTTCAGATTCTTCCTTTACAGAAAATGAGGACAATTGCCTTTCCCTGCCTCAAGGCAGTAGAATATGACAGTAAAATATTCTGGTCATAAAGCATTAATAGAAGACCCAGATGTATCTGACAGAGATAAATTTAAAAAAAGAACTTAATCAGATCTTAGATCTTAAAACTTTCTTTGTTGTAAACAGTTGCAGCAGCAAAATCCACTCCCAACTCACTTTACAAGTTACATGCTGTATCTCAGTTTCTATATCCAAAAGTGTACCATCTGCTTGTGATACCTTTGCCTGGGGCAAGGCTAACCAGCACCTCCTTACAAATGATTCATGCATCCCCTAGTCCTGGGCAAATATCTGAACTCATAACCCCCATCATCTTTGTCTTCCTCTTCCCTTGGCTGGGCCCATCTCCCAGCATTAGACAACAGCAAAGAGCAAACAGTGATAAGCTGCATCAGGCGCCAGCTATCTCTGTGCAGAGATAACAGCACCTATCAGGCACAACAAACACCACACACCTGGGGCAGCCTGCACAAGGGAAGCCCACCCTCACACCTAGTGAAGGGGCACCTCTTGACCCAGTCAGGAATCCTACTTGAGACTGTCAGTCAGGGGTAGCCCGCTAGCAAGACAGGGAGCAGAAACCTCTTCTCTGTCTTCACACTGGGGAAGTAACAGAAGCCACCTCCCTGCTCTTCATTACTGTGGTATCTTAGCATCTTAAATTCACTGATATGGCTTTATGCTTATGATGCTCTTACTGGAAAATTCCCATCTTGCAGGTGGAAAAATTAAACTCAAGACTCCCAAAACTTAATCCTAGCTTCTAAACAGTCTGGCATCCAGGGGGACATCCATCTAATACAAAACCTGACCCTTCACAACAGATCATGTTTGCTCTCATGCAAGTGTTATCTGAAAGACATTTACTCATCCAAAGCAGGATTCCTAATTAGGCCTTTGTAGGTCTAGTCTTCCATTTACCCATAAGGACATTGACCCAGGAACTAAATTACACCTCAGAGACTTGTACCCTAGTTTGTAGCTCTCCCCTAATACAAGACCTGGTCTGCACAACAAGGCCCTGGTTGCAAAAAAAAAACCCCAAAACATTTTCTGCGCTGTTTGCTGGCAGAAGAAGAAAGAATCCACACATCATGGTTTATCTATATGGGAAAGATGTCTGGAATTAACGATAGTAGAGTGGCTTCCTCAGTGGACAGTTCCTCAGACCCCACCAGTTAAAAACTGACTATTCCTCCTGAGCAGAGAAACTTCCTGAAGCTCTTGCAACGCAATTCCTTTGTCACAGGGTAAAGCTCTCCATGCTTGCCTAAGGGAAACACATCCCTTCCAACTACTTCACCTCCCCTGCATCACAAGTAACTGATGAAAGCTTGGGATGAGGAGGAGGAGAAATTAGGATAAAGTAATGGAGAAAGAAAGCGGCTGAGACGTGTATTTCTGGCAGAGGAGCAAGGAACTGCTCACGGCAAGACAGAATATGTAAACAGAAGAAAACAAACACAAACATAAATCAAGATTAACAGAAAATTATTCTGTCCCCATGGATGTTGTGCTGAGCTGTGATAGAGTTATGCCACTTGGCTTTCAACTCAGGCACCAAAAAGCCCAGGCTTTGTATCTCATGGCCAAAAATTCAGTCCTAGACACATTCTGCTCTACAGCTGATGGAAACAAAAATAAGGAAGGCATGTCAACTGAGAGGTGTGTAGAAGAAAAGGGATTTCCTTTTAGTGGCTGTACCTCTTCAGACTAGAAGTACAGCCCCACCCTACATGTACAGAGCTAGGAATGACCTCCTCTCTCCCCCATCTACACCAAATGCATCCACCTTTGGAAGACACTAGCAAGGTCATTCTCACCCAAGCCTATGGCCATAAACCCTTTGCATTTAGCACTACAGCACTGCTACAAGCACTTCACATGAAAGAGCAGCTGCTGAACAGCATGACTGTAGGACACAGAGGGACTCTCCAGATAAGCTTTTAGTGGTGTAAACTTGGAACAAAATTTGTCACAGAAGTAAAAAGGACCATAGGAAACAGTTTAATCACCCTCTGTCAGAATGTGCTCCAAAACTTACTTCTATCAAGTCACTGTGACAAACTTTTTTCTTAAAGACAATCAAAACATACAGAATACTCTCAAATCACAGTTTACAAAATCTTCTGGTCTGAATGAGATGGGCTAGACTCAAGAATTAAGGAGCCTGAAACTCAAGGAAACTTGTTAGAAATTATTTTCCCTGTAAACAAGACAGCTCTTCTTCAAAAGACTCAGGAACTCTAGGATTTGTTTTTAAAGCCACATTTGAAGTGTATTTCAAAGAACACATTCCATATGGCTTTTAAATCTGAATGTGTCTCCTATTAATAATTTGGGATCCTCAGCAGCTTTGGGGAGTTTTCTGTTTTATTTTAAGAAGCCTTTGCTGTTGACCTTTAAGCACAGTTCATGTGCTCGCAGCAACATATAAGAAGGTACCCTCAACCCTTTTTATTTACGTTTCTTCAGTACATCAGCAAAGATTACAGTGTGGTTAAGCCCCCCCCTTTTATCTTTGCATAATTCTTTTTTACAACATATCAACCTTCTCCAGGGCTGGATATTTGCATATTAATAATGAAGCCTGCTTTTTAATTCCTCCCTTTAGCTTAATATATTAAATAGTGTTGATAGATAAGACTTGGCTCTCAAATTAGTGGTGGTAGCAAAGCAGAGTTCAAATTATTCAATTAGAACAGAGACAGCTATGTTTATTGTCTTCCCACATTTGAATTAAGCTGCAATCTCACTCAGAGAAATTGCCCTGCTCTGATTCTGATGGAGAAGGTGTAAGTTTGATCATTTCCCCAGACTGCCTAAAAATCATTTGGAAAAATTGGTTTGAACATCTTCACTGTTTCATAGTTATTGACATTCCTATAAATTCTTTGCAAAGTGCAAAGAAACTGAGGATGCAGCTCCACAGTTCTTTAAGCCAATTTAAGTGTGGGTTGCAGTCAGAATGAACAAGCACGCTCTCTTCTACCCCATCATCTCTCCCCCATGTCCTCACTGTGTTGGAACTACTAGTCCTGCAGCTGCATGGTTAGCAGGACCAAAGAATCAATCTACTTTCAAACTAATCCTCCACCCTTTCTTTTTCCTGCCAGGTCATTTCCTACTGC